ACAAAATTTGAATAGCTGTGTGAAGAAGCATAAAATGCTTATAAATATCTTTTGGTAAAATTTTTTTAAAAATAATTGGCCCAATATATAATAGGGGAAACTGAAATTCGGTAGCTTTAAATTTCTTAAAATCAGAAAAGGATCGAGTTGTTCTTTGAAACTCTTCAGGGATGCATCGCTGAATTTTCGTCATTAAAAATGATAATCGTGCTTTTGAACCGTATGATAATTTTTAAATATATTTTTTATCTTCCGTACCCTCGAGCCAGCACTCCAACAGTTTTTTCATTACTCCTAAATAGAGGAGATGCATTGCATCAAATGGAAAGCTGTTAATCATGTCTATTGGGGGTTCAATATTAATTAAAGGAGATATTCCTCTATGATGTTCGTCATTTGTTTGCTCTCTGAAGGAACGATCCGTTCTTAATTCATAATTACCATCTGGGTAAATGGTTCGATTTTTATATCGTTCGCCACATACAAAACAACGTTCACATGCCCAAAATCCATTATGATTTTTTATACATTTGACAAACGAACGAGCTGGCCTATCACAAATAAAAGCTTTAATAGAAACTTGAAAGAACCGATTATTTACATTTAATCCTTCAGTTTGGAGCAGGTTTATTTCCTCAATAAACTTTTCAAAATATTTTTCGACATTTCCTGGTTTGTGAAGTCCACAATATATTGCCACTGGGAATGGTTTATAAATGTCAGGTTGGTGAAAAATTTTGCATAAAATTGGCCAAAAGCTCGTTGAACTAGACTTAAATAGTGGTAAACCATTTACATTTATAATTAACTGTATACTATTTAAATGTAAATCAGGATTAAGACACTTTATAAGATGTGAAGTTAAACCGAAATACACAAATAGGCCATCATCATGTTCATCAAGTTTCTCAATCTTATAACTCTCACATGTAGTCTGTAAAAATGTTTTTGAACTTTTGGGCAATTGAGGTATGATGGGTCGTAATATATTTAATAAACCATCCAAGCGAGAATGGGCAAGTGGTGGAAATTGAAATGCCCATTCTCGAAGATCATTTATAGTGTTATTCAGTATTACTTCATTATTCATTGATGAGTCTGATGAAATCGAAGAGAGAGAAGCAATATCTGCAGGTTCATCTTCTGATATATCCAAAGCATTGTTTTCGCTAGTAGCATTATCATCTGAATTACGTGTTTCGTTTTCCAAATAAAGACTGTTTTGTACATTAAATGATGACTGCATGTTAAAATAGTTTTGTTCTTCATTATCTATTTCAGACGGCACTGATAGACTATTACTTATGCTATTTTCTACAAAAAAATTTTTGTTCCGATTTCTTTTTCCAAGTACGCGATATTTTTGCACTTTTAAACGTGTTGCTGCACGTTTTCTTGCCAATCTTCTATCAAATAAATCCATGTTAATGAATATATAAGTAAACCGTAATTGTAAATAAAAACCACTGTAATTGTAATAAACCACCGTAATTGTAACCTTAACTGTCAAAACTGTCAAAATTCTTTGAATAATGTGTACGCACTCTGGCAGTACAGTTAACTGTGTGAAGTTTAACATTATGTCTGGCAGCAGCAGAAGAGCGTTTTCAAGGATATTCAAAATTGTGCATTTTTAATAATTAATTATTAATCGACGCGCAACACGAGCTGGAAACAGTATACAAAAATTTACACAGATATATCATTAGGCTACTTAGATCCTAGATGTATTAGCTTCACAAAACTTTTATATACATTATAGGTACAACTTTTATTCGATTAAGCACATGTACATTATCTCGATCAGGACCTAATTATATAACCCTATCCAACTTCTGATAGAACGAGACTAACATGTCCTAATCGGGGCCTGTTTATGTAACTCTATAAAATTCGGCATTTGTAATTAATTTTCCGATAAGGCATGTATACAGGGTCCTCATAAAGACCTGATCAGAATACTTGATTAAACTTTACTTTCAACCGTGTTATAATTAGCCCGATTGAGTAATAATAAGGACCTAATCGGGTTGGCCTTAGTAAGGCATGCCTTAAGAATATCCGATCAGGTCCTTATGATATGTCGAGCCAATTTCCATATCAAACTTCTGATAAAACAAGACTAACACGTCCTAATCGGGGCCTGTTTATGTAACTCTATAAAATTCAGCATTTGTAATTAATATTTTCCGATAAGGCATGTATACAGGGTCTTCATAAAGACCTGATCAGAATACTTGATTAAACTTACTTTCAACCGTGTTATAATTAGCTCGATTAAGTAATAATAAGGACCTAATCGGGTTGGCCTTAGTAAGGCATGCCTTAAGAATACCCGGTCAGGTCCTTATGATATGTCGGGCCAATTTCCAGTCGGATATGATTTGTGAAAATGCGTTTAATTTTTTTTGTGCAGATGCATTTACGGCATCTGTTAAACAAGCAACTTGGGAACCAGATGAGAAAAAAGTTACATTAGACGCATTTGGAAAAAAAATTACAAACTGATACACTAATAACTGGAAGAGAAATGCAGGATCTTACATCTAGTACTCCGTGTCTGGCTAATAAAAAACGAACAGTTGCACAAATGAGAACATGGTTAAACACGCAAAAAAAAAAGAAATTAAATAATGTTTAAAACTATCCATCACAAAAATTATCACAATATATTTTTACATTTAAAGAAATAATTCAATATTAAAACTTTAATTTAGATTTCAATTAAAAATAAATCCTTACATTTGATTTTAATATTGTAATAATTATAGTTTCTATGTCTGTTGTTTTTTAAGTTTACAAGAAACATTGCACGAGGTGAATATTGACACTTTAATTTAAACTTTAATTAAAAATAATTACTTATATGTGATTTTCATAATGTGATAATTATTGTATGATAATTATAATTTTTCTGTTCGTTGTTTTTTGAGTTTAAACGCACGAGATAACAGACTGAACTTTTAATTTAACGTATCCCAGTCAGAAATGATTAGTTGATTCGACGTTGAATCAATGTCGAAAACCGAATGTCGAATCAACGTCGTAATTCTGGTCGATTCGACGTCGAAAGCGTATAAAATATCACCGACTATTCAACTTATCGTTTCAACGTCGTTTCAACGTCGAAGGTTGAAATTCGATTGAAATATAGTATATTATATATTTTATATTTTTTTATATATGCAGTGTTTGTCTGGATAGGTTCTAAATATAAAATTTATATATATTATTTATACATATGTGATTGATCGCGCAATCCGAGTCGAAATTTTACTCCTTCTTTCGACCTCTTATTTTTCACATCTCAGGATTCTAAAGGATTTTGATAGATTCTAATTGTATTGTACTTAGCTCCTACTTTGTGCCTGAAAACGGCAGAAAACGGACTGTTTCCCATTTTGAGGTTTAAAAGAGGAGTTATCGGTAAAACCCTCCTAAACCTCCTAAAACCCTCTAGATCCTACACTGATAGAAAAATGTACTAAATTTTAATTAATGTTTTCTCCAGTAGTCCTTATAAAGTATTTTTTTAATTCAGTTAATATTTTTCGAATGAAAAAAATATTCATCCAATTAAAACAAATTTTCTAAACCTAATAAAATATTTACTGAATTCAAAAGAATACTTTATTAAGACTATTGGAGAAAACATTTATTGTAGTACATTTTATTATCAATGTATTAATTTTTACTACTTTTTAAATCGTAATGAAACATGTTCCATATCACGTACATCATCGATAATTCATATAGTATAGGTTTTGGTAAATTTAGCAACAAGATACGGTTGTGACTTTGACTTATGTTGTCGTATCTCGTTGCTCTGTTAAATGCAATATTTATCTAGATTTATTATTTAGAATCTAAAATTTTTAATATTAAAAAAATATTACCGCAAAATATTTTATAACATTGTTAATTTTAATTTTAATTAATCACAATTTTAATTAATCAGATACATATAGACATACATGTATCACAATTAATAATGTTATAAAATTTATATAATAAATCTTTTTTTTATTAACCATATGAAACACAACTTAAATAAAAACTCCACTGCAAGTCACCGATAATATACATGACATAGAGCATGTTAATATGATAATGTGGTAAATAGCATATAAGGGGGAGAGTCAGAAAAAATCTAAGAGATCGCACACGTTTGTTTCTAAGGTACAAAGGAACATATATTTATTTGTTTACACTTTTTTATCTACTTGTTCATGTACTCTTGCATACTATCTAAATTAAACTCATATTATATCATAACGAAAAAAAAAATTTTTTAACCATTTAAAATTAATATATGTATTGTATCTTAATAAAAATTAAAATTAAAATTTAGTTTCAACAAAATTAAAATTAAAATTGAAAAATGTCTTGATACTGATTGTGAGTATCTTAAAATGAAATATCTTAATACTAATAAAACTTAAAATTAATACCTTAATACCAAATAACTAATCGCATATCACAAATGCCATTTAACAAATAATATTAATAATACGGAATTAAAGAGTCTGGATTACCCATTGAAATCAAAGTAAGAAAAGAAAAGAGAAGAAAAGAGAGGGAGGCCTCTGCATTTGTCTACGAGATAAATTCTAGGGCCAAAATATAAACCAGAGTAACAAGAATAAGAGCAATTCCAAGATCTCAAGACGAGATTAAGGAGGTTCTACAGGTACTCTCTAGTCAGTTGAGAGATGAAGAGAAAATATTCAAATTCATCAATTCCAAGTATTCATAAAATATTTTCATAAATTTTAATGACGTTAGAGCTCATGTCATACCCATATTAGTCGAAGCGAGGAATAATTAAAAATATCGTGTAAGTGGTCCTTTGACTCCGGCTTATACATACGAGAAAATGTAGCAACGTCGCAAACTTGAGTCTCGCTATTCTGCTCGTATGTGACCGTGTTCAATTCAGTGACTGGTGTTTACTGTTTATAAATTAATAATGACTCCTCCAAACCCGACCAATTCTTGGAGAAATAAGAATAGAATTTTGCGTGGTATTAATAGAGGAAAATTCGCAAAAAAACAAGTTGTTCTTCGAATGGAAAATGCCCAAAAATCATTGGCAGATAAAAGGTTATGTGAGGTTAGTAATATTTTCAACTTTGATCATACATGTGAAAGTTATTTACATTACTATATCACTTTTACTGTTTACACGCGCACGCGCGCGCGCGCACGCGCACACACACACACACACACACACACAAGCATTCTTATATACTACTCATATACGTATAAGCAAAAATTGAAATATTCATTTCAGACCAAAAATTGGTTCGACAAATGCAAAAATGTCATAGATGGGCGAAGAATTGTTGACTTGGCTCATTTAGCAGCAGAACTGTGGTGCAAAGAGTGCAATTTACCATTATCGTTAAGATATGCTACTGATGAATTCCGATCAGGCCTTGCTAGTATCATCACAGTAAAATGTACAAAATGTGGGAATAGTTATAAGGTCACGACCAACGCAGAAGTGCCTGGTGATGCTCATATGTACTACACCGTAAACCTGAAGGCAGTTATGGGTTTGTATTTATATAAGCTTGATTTTACTAATTATCTAGTTGTATAATATAAAAAATTGAATTCATTTAGGAATGATTGATGCAGGTATTGGAGAAACCCATCTCAACACAATTTTATCAGCGTTAAATATACCACCCTTGAACCCAACAGTAGTGAAAAGACATGAGAGAGTTGCGGGCCCTGCAATCGAAAGCATAGCCAAAGACAGTTGCAGAGAAGGTCTTCAATTAGAGAAAAAGTTGACTTTGAGTGCTTTACAGGAAGATGATAAGTGAGTGTTTTAGCAGAAGTTTATAATTATCGAGCATATCAAATTGAATCTGTATTTGTAACTTTATGAAACAAAAATAATAGTACAAGTTTTAGAGACATAAGCTTATGTAGATATAAAAATAATTCAATATTTATATATTTATATATTTTTCTAGTTACTTCTGTAAAAGTTCTGCGTTATGCGATAATTTTACTCGTATGATTAAGATAGTGATAGAGAAAATCAGATTAGTTATAATATTTACACAAATGTATAAGTTTACATAAGTATATAGACATTTAAGTTCTTTTTACATTGTATCTTTAAATGTTACACCAGCTCTCAATGTACAGTAATTATATGTATAAATAATGGTTTTGAAACTTAGGTTTGAATACCTAAAAAGTTACCCATCTTTTTTCTAACCGAATCCTTTCAATCAACGATACACACTTGCTAGACTAAACATTTCATTCCCTCTATACGTCCTATCTTTCCAAGACTGAAGCTCTTTAATAATAAAAAGAGACCCTTTAATCGAAGACTGGCCATAAGAGGGCTATTTTTCATTGGTCCAACATTTTTCGTCAAAAGCAGAGAAACAGAAAGAGAAAAGAATAGAAAAGAGATAAAGAAAGAGAGAGAAAGAGACAGCGATAGTGATCCGAATGTACATCCTTCTCACTCGCTGGATTTTGGCGAAACATGGACGACACGCTCTTATGGCCAGTCTCTGATTAGAAGGTCTCTTATGTTATACGGTATGAGGATTGTGAGCAGGGCCATAGGTTTTACTTACATGACTTTTTGACTCGCATGTGTGTTGTATGTACTGGTTTTCATCACACTTTTTTATGTTTGAATGCTTTAGAGAACAACTAATAGAACAATTCACAATTTCTCTTTTTTACAAAATTGTTAATTAATTTCATATCAATGCATGAAAACTTGAAAAATAACTTTTTAGTATTAAAATCTAGATTTTGATTTTAATTCTCACTCTTTCATAAACGTATATTTGTGTGTGATTTGAATTAGCAGGAATGTAGATGATAAAGAAAACAGCTCCAACATAGTAAAAGAGACTCCAGAAGAAACAGGTAGCAAAACACCTCTAAAATTTTCATTTGATTGTGGTTGGCAAAAGCGAGGGACGGGGCATGCTTATAATAGTCTATCAGGTATCAGATATTTGTGTAACAAGTGCGGGAAGTTGAAAATTGGACACGGGTGCGGAGTGGACGCACGAGCCGAAAGCGAGTGCGATCACCCGCACGCGTGTCCAATTTTCAACCCGCACGTGTTATACACACTATTTTATATTACACGAGACTGTGCGGGAATGAGATATTACCGCACTGTTTTGAGTGGTGTGTGGAATTGGATATTTGTCGCACAAAAAACACGCGCGTAATGGGCCACTTTCCACGCACGTGTAATATAAAAATGTTTTTCTAAATACTTTCCAAAAGTACAATATTACATACCCATACAATATTGTTTCTTAGGTCATTCCATGATTATCGGCTACCATTCAGGTAAGGTAGCTTCGTATGCAGTACGGACTAAGCAATGTAGAAAGTGTCAACTTGGGCACTCCGAGACAGATCACGACTGTAGACGGAATTATAATGGAAGTGCGAAAAGCATGGAGCCAGATATGGCAGTGGAACTTTTTACAAAAAATGAATTATTTGAGGAGGCAGGAGTGTACGCTTCAGTTATTATCGGTGATGATGACTCCAGCACAGTAGCTGGTGTTCGTAGGAATGCTACTCACGAGATTGAAAAGTGGTCAGATTTCAATCACACACTGAAATCGTTTACCTCGGCATTGTATTCTATGAAATTGTCGCCAAAACTCATTGAATATTTTTCTCGATGCTTCTCGAGTGCGGTCAAACAGAATAAAGGCAATACCGAGAAAGTGAGAGCTGCATTGGAGGCAATAGTTCCTCACGCGTTCGGGGATCATCAATTGTGTGGTGATTGGTGCAAATCGCATGTAAATAATAACTATAAGCACAATAATCTGCCGCATGGAAAGCCACTTGCAGATGAGGAGTTGCGTGAGAAACTACATGCTCTTTTATCGCGATTTGCAAGAAACGCGGAAAAAATCGCTCCATGTGGTTGCACACAAGCTAATGAATCGTTAAATAATGCCGTAGCGAGCAAAACTCCAAAGGCTCGTCATTATTCTGCATCGGAATCTCTTCATTACCGCGTAGCTACTTCAGTATGCCAGAAGAATGATGGTTATACGTATATAGCAAAAGTATACAACAAGCTCCTGCTTTCTCCTGGCAGTGCTCGCACATTAGCATATCGGCTACAAAAAGATAAAAAAAGGGAGATCAGGGCCAAGCTCTCCAAAACTAAAGAAATCAAAAAAAGAAGACTTTATGCAAAGAAACAACGATCTATCGCCACTGCATCAAGACAGCGGCAAGAGGGATTGACTTATGAATCTGGAGTATCATGCTACAACGTTTCAGATTTATTTGAGAATACTCCACGTGCAATGAACGATCCCAACAATTTTGAAAATGATAATTACAGGATAGTTTACTTTGACCTAGAAACTACAGGTCTTAGAAGTACTGACCAGATTTGTCAAGTGATTAAAAAAAATACTATACAGTTGAGATAGATTTTTGTACAAAAATTATTGAGACCTTTTTTTAGATAGCAGCATATGATGGGGTATCAACGTTCAACGCCTACATAACTCCATCCATACCCATCTCGAGGTCAGCATCCGCAATAACCGGAATGCAAATCATCGATGGGGATATGTATGTACACGAAGATTTGGTACAGACAATACCCGTGCGAGCTGCTGTGGACGGATTTTTGAAATATCTTGAGGAGATAAGCGGCAAAGAAAATAGGGCCTGCCAGATAATTCTTTTATCCCATAATGGCTTCAAGTGAGAAAATATTTGTTTTCAACCGGTCAAGTAACTGTATAACATTTGCTTTTAAAATTTTTAGATTTTTGACTAATTATTTATTCAACTTTTTGGGATCCTTGAAATACGTAGAAGCCATTCAGCAAATGATAAGGCTGATAAATAAATAATGAATTACTTATGTATTATTGCAAATTTTATTATTTATGACAGAGCTGATTACAGTTGCTTGCTTTATTGGTAGATTTGAGAGTAAGGTTTATTATTTTCTGTACATTTGATCTATTATTCCATACAGATTCGATGTTCCAAGAATATTGTCTCTAATTGTTAAATTGGGAGTGATGGAGACCTTTAAAAAAACAGTGAGCGGATTCGCAGATACTCTCGATATTTTGAGGAATGCACTTCCAGAGAGGCGAAAAAATAAACAGAGCTTTTCGGTAAAAGCTCTTTTACAAGATTTCCTTCCAGGCGAAAATCACGAGAACCTTCACAATGCTGTCGATGATGTTATCATGTTGAAAAAAATTATCGATTATTTAAAAATAGATGATTTGCTGATCAAAAAGTTTGCTAAGAGCGTTACAAACATGATAGATGAAAAGAATAGAAAATCCATTATATCCGCTAACAAAACTTCGCTACGATCAGTATACCAGAACAAAATTTCAGCAAATTTAATTCAAAAAATGGCTAAAGCAGGTATAAACAGAAATATACTAGAGGAAACTTTCACGAAAAATGGTTATGATGGTATCAGAGTTTTGTTTGGAGAGAGCATCGATGGCAAGGCTCGAGTCACTACGTCAAAAAAACTAATTGACAAAGTTTATTCCTTGTTCTCAGATAAATAAAGATATAAATTATATGTTTTGTTGTTTATTGATAAAACTTGTATTTTACATAATTTTAGAACGAGTACTCCTCCGTAAGCGCTCGTTAGGTTAGGTGCTTAAGTTCGAAGTGCTGTCATATTGTAGTGCTGTACTGACTGCACACTTTCCGCGCGGGTGCAGTCGCTGCGACGTTGCCAAATCTCCCTTGTTAATCGAAGCACGCTACGTGAACTGTGATATGGCCTGTTTCAATAGCCAATATCACAAAATTTTACGCGGTAACCCTTGTTTTTTTCGATATTTTTGAAAAGCTTAGATTACGATTTATAAGAGCTCCGTTTTTTGAATCTCTGGTAGGCCGCCTTCATATAATTAATATCTCGTTTCCTGTCTCCAGGAACCCCTCTGCCATTAAGAGCTCATGAAAAACTGCAATTTCAAAATTCATTTTTGCACATTTTTACACGGTAACCGATGCTAAAATTTTTCGAGCACTTTTCTCGCATCTCAATTTATACGTCCATAAAGTTTTTTCTAATATTTAGATACATCCATTATCTGTAGAACCTCCTTAACCTTGCAGAGCTCCTTGTACTACTACGAACAATGTCGATCTTCTAATATGGCGTCCCAAATGAGAATATCGGAAGGGCCCTGCTCGCTGGACCGGACTCCTCGCCTCAATTCTCCCTCTCGGGCGCGAGCTGCCGCAGCTCTCCTTTTCCTGGCGGTGAGCTCTCCTTGGGAAGTCGAATCTCGCTCGGTTGGTCTCCAGAATATGTGCCGCTTAGCTCAATCAGTTACGAAAGAAGGAAAACGTACTCGTCTCGTCCGAAGAAACGCAGCAAGAGCGGCCATGACACTGAACTGACTGAACGAGAGCGAGCCGAGCGAGGAAGGAGTAGGGGCGCTTTGAAAGTGGCGACTCACGCGTCGCGCCATCTACATCTGAATGAAACGATCGAGCGTTTGCAAAACGCGAAAGAATTTGAGCGCAATATCTGAAGTAAATATTAAATTAATATTAAATAAATGTTAAATAAATGTTTCTTTAAATCGTTATTGCAAATAAAAAATTAATGTAAAATAAATATTACATTACTGTCGAATAAATGTTAAATAAATGTTTTTTCAATTCATTATGGCAAATAAATAGTTAATGTAAAATAAATATTAAAATAATGTCGAATAAATGTTAAATAAATGTTTTTTTAACTTATTGCAAATAACTTACTAATGTAAAACAAATATTAAATAAACGTTAAATAAACGTTTAATAAATATTTTTTCTAAATTATTACTTCAAATAAATAATCAATGTGAAATAAATATTTAATAAACATTAAATAAATATTATTTTTACAATGAATTCTACAAATGTATAATTAATAAAAAATGAATATTAAAAACACATTTAAAAAACATTGTCTGCTGATTGGGCAAGAGCTTGAATAAATAAATACCAGTCTATATTCAATTATCGTAAATTTAGTAATATGTAAATATATGAAGATAAGTAATTATAAGAAGTAATAACAAAAAGAAAGATGTTTTGTAATAGTTTTGTATATATTTAAAATTTCCTACCTTTAGTTGCACATATACGCATGCGTACTCATACATACACACATTCTTTTAATTTTATTTTGAATTATTTTAATAAATAAAGAAAAAAGAGAGAAAGAAGGAAAAAATAATATAGAAAAATACAATTTTATATAAATAATCATTTATACGTCATATATAAAATAATTTTTTTTAGTTATCAATAATAAAACTATTATTATTATTAACCTAATAAAATTCCTTTTAATTTTGTTTTTACTATTTTTGATTAAATTAATAAATAGAGAGAACCGTTATTATAAACGTTATTATAAACGTTTAATAAATCATATATAATATTTAATCGAAAATATAATAAACCTATAATAATAAAAATAAACTAAATGCAATAAATAAATTAAGAAAACGTTAGGAACATTAAAGTAGGAGCATGATTTCTTTTCAAACAGAATTGTCAGATTCTAAATAGGAGCCAAAGGTTGAAGAGGTTCAAAATAGGGTGATGTGACTGCTTATAGTATCAAAGTAGGTGTTAGGTCAAACATTTTGGTCGAAAGTAGGTGTTATATTGAACATTGAGGTCGAAAATAGGAGAAAAATTTCGACTCGGTACGCCATTTCTTAAACGTCCATAAAATTATTTTGTACAATTTACATAAACAATGTCGTAATATTTTTTAGGATTAAAATCTAAATTGATCGAATTTTATAAGTGCGCACTCAAAACAGCGCTATTAATCGCTTTGACGTTGAATCAACCTTGAATCGACACTGGACATGATCGATATTGCAGGAATATCGACTTTCTTATCGACTCAACCAGCTGTCAACCATATCGACGTTGAATTAACCTTGAATCAAGGTTACATTTCTGACTGGGATTTTAAATATAACGCAATAAGCTATATACTATAAGAGAAAATATTTTTATTTAAGATATGTTTTCTGTATTGAAAATACGTTAAAAAGGCACTATAAGATAGATATGTTTTATAATGTAGACACAAGCTTTTTATGAAAATTTATTTTGTAAAAAAGTTTTATGTTTATATATTATATGTATATATACATATTATACAATTTAAGTTACATAAGTGCCATATATTTTTCATAAGTTTAGTATCTTTCATTTATTATATTTTTTATTAGTAACCTATATAAGAAGAAAGTGTAGCGTGTTTTTATGCTTATTTTCATTTTTTACTGTAATCTTACTTAATATCTTTATTAAAAATGTTGCAAAATAAAAATATCTAAAAGTACCTTGTTTTTCCCTTCTACATTACAATCACACATTGTGCGCGTATACTTAAAAAATATATGGCGACACATACGTTGCTGCAAATTGAAGAGTTGTTCTTTCCATGTGCTCCCTAAGTTACATAACAGTTACAAACTGGTTTACTGGAATTATGTTATAATAATTAAGATTTTTATTCAGTTTTGTTATCTAAACTGTTCATCAGCTGCCGTTACCCTCTACTCTGATGCTAAGACTGAGGTATATGTTTCTATATAAAGACAGAATAAAATTAGTTATATATAAATCAAGACTATAAATTTAATATTTATTGCATTTGTTATAAAAGTTATTATTTTACCCCATCAAGAATGGATAGATCCTTTGAAAGAGTTTTACTTCATTTACATTACAAGAAAAAAATTATTAGAGGTGCAAGAGATGCAGTAAATTGCCAAGTCTAATAAGTACCCGCGTCAATACATACTATGTATACTAATTCACATTCTCAATTATGCTGTTATTATTTGTCATCAGACAATTATAAACATACACATAATAATTAGATACATATTATATATATATATATATATATATATATATATATATACACACGCACATGTGTGCATAAGAATATATGTAATTTATAAAAAGCGGGTGCTTATCAGGCTTGATACGTTACTGCCTTCTGCTACGGACGGCCAGAAAGCATTTTCAGGTTCAGGTCGTATTGCTAAAGAATTCATAAACGCGGCAACGCCGCGCGGCGTTGCCGCGTCTATAGCATATGTCTCTCTACCGTGCGTTTGTGTGAGCAATTCAGTGGTGTGTGTACGTGTACGGACATACACCACTTCATAGAACCTGAAATAAGTTGGTAACACTGAAACCGGAGTTTCGCGTTGTCACCACGCGAGGTCTCTAATATCAGTTCGGCCTTTGCTTTAGTTGACAGAGTTGACATTACCGACGTCGAGGAAGTTCGGCCTTAGCTTTAGCATCCCCTTAAGCGGTTGTACAGACATTTCTCAAAGGTTTTGAGAACGCAGGAAATTAATGAGATGGGCCTAACCCTTTTGCCACCTGGCTTAGGAATAAATATGACAAACGAAGTACGCCAATCTTCTGGGAACGAGCCATTTTTAAAAAGATTGTTAAAAATCTCGCATAATTTGCACCAAAAGAATTCTGGCAGAGAGGTGAGAATGACGTAGTCTAGCTGGTCCAAGGCAGGAGCAGACTTCTTTTTCATTGATTTAAGAGCCAAATGTATTTCATCCATGGATATAGGGTCATCCAACCAATAGTGGATACGTTCCGCGTTTGACAAATCCTTACTGAGCAATTCATCGGATCCTCAAAGCAGGATCCTCGGGTGGGCAAGATGGTGGGCATAACTTCTTGATGGCCGCACGAATTAGTTTCTCCTCCCTGGTCGTATCGATGTTGGATTGTGTGTTTTGATTTTGGTTTTTGAAAGCCTTAACAAACTTCCACACCCGATTAATAGAAGTTTTAGCGTCGAACTCTGCACAGAGATTCTTCCAACTTTGCACCTTTTGTTTCTTTAGAACTCGTTTGGCCACTGCAATAGATTTTTTGTATGCCAGAAGATTCTCCATAAAGTAATGTCTTTTAAAAATCTTTGTGGCAATTTTACGGGCCTCAATGGCAGCCTCACAATCCTCATTCCACCACGGAGCTGGATGTCGTTTATTTTTGACGGGACGGCTGGACGGAGAAATGTTGTTTTTCTTGAGAGCTTTCATTATGCAAGATTTGATTATAATGATGAGTTGATCATATGCGGTAAAAGCATTATTGGCGTCTATATCGTCCATTTTTTGCTTCATGTTCCTTAAGAGGGTGAAAAGTGTTTTGAGAGAGTCCTTGTTAAGTCTGAGTCTGTGGGAAAATCTGACTCTAGGGTCCGGAATACCGTTGATGAAAGTTGTGATGGGGAGGAGATGATCGCTGCTTCTCAAGTCTCCGTCTTTCTTATGATCGTAGATGCTAATGGTAGCCAAGTCGGCAGAGGCGATGGTTAATAGCGTTTTTTATTGGCAGAACTGGTGCGCACTCAGTGCACATTAAAGCCGTTGTACACTGATTTAATCTCTAATATTTAAAGTAAAATGCAAATATTTCGACTGATAAAATATCCAGTACATATTTTACCAAATAGTGCAATAAAGAATATTGAGGATTTCATGATTTAACCCGTTT